AATCCTACTTCCGTAGTGATACTGCCTCGGAAACCCAAGGAGGGGTCGCTATGAGTCGGGTTTGACTCGACGGCACATAACAACAACAACAGCAAGGGATGACTTTGTTGATAGGTGTTACTTGGGAAAAGTAGACATATTTTCCAGACAAAGTTAATACTTTTATACTGAACAAAAATGAAACAAATACTATATACCTATCAATAATTCTAAAATTATTTCCCTACTTTTAACTTTATATCTAACGAGAAAAAAAAAAAAAAATCTAAGAAGACCTATATGAAGAATGTCTACTTAAAAGACATTATTTATTGCCATCAAGTCAGATCCGACTCACAGCGACCCCTCCTTGGGTTTCCAAGGCAGTATATCACTATGGAAGTAGATCGTCCAACTCTCCTTCCAAGGAGTGGCTGGTGGGTTTGAACTGCCAGCCGTCTGGTTAGCTGTCAAGTGCCTTAGGTACTACACCACCAGAGCCCTCAAGAAACATTACAGCTTTCAAAATTATAATCTTAAACCTGAGAATTTTAGCTCAAAAACAGAAACCTTGAGTAATATTACATGACAGTCCTAAACAAGGAAATACAATTAGTGATCAAACCAACTGAAAATTCAAGTGATATAAAGTACATTTCAAGAAATTCATTTTGCTAATTTCTCATTTTCCGCACTTCTAAGGAAACAACAACAAAAAATAGAAATCACTGGCTTAAAAACAAATATCTCAAGCAGTATAAATACTTTTTGTATATGCCACTTTACAGAAGACATTATTGCTATTTTCATAATTAAAGAAAAATACGAATCATAGAAAAAAAATTCAATCATCTGAATACAATGCAATTCAGCTTCAACACGAACAATTTCTAGATTCACTCAGATATTCTAATATATTTGAATTAAGATGATAAACTGTGGTCCAAAACTCTGTGATCCATGATGTGATACTTACATATTTGGAAATATGTTCATTAAAGGAAGACATGAACGTTTTCTTCAAGTATGTATATGCACAAGTGTATGGTTGAAACAGGGAAAGGGACTGATTTAGAAATATCTTTTAGTTTTTACTGATTCATGTAAGTCTGCCATTAAAAACTCATTTTAGAAGTTACTGGTTTGGAAGGAAGAAAATAACTATTCTCATGTTGTTGTTGTTATGTGTCATCAAGTCATCTCCAACTCACAGCAACCTTATGCACAACAGTACGAAACACTGCTCAGACCTGTGTCACCCTCACGATCCCTACTATACCTGCGCCCATCATTATAGCCACCATGTCAATCCATCCTGTTCAGGGCCTTCCCCTCTTTGGTTGACCCTCCACTTTACCAAGCATTACATCTTTCTCCAGAGAATGGTCCCTTCTGACAACATGACCAAAGTACGTCAGATGACGTCTGGCCATTCTCACTTCCAAGGAGCATTCTGGCTACGCTTCTTCCAGGGCAGATTTGTTAGTTCTCTTAGTAGTCCATGGTACTTTCAGCATTCTTCACCAACACCACAACTCAAAAGCATCAATTCTTCTTCAGCCTTCCTTATTCATCGTCCAGCTCTCAAATGCCTATGAGGTGATCGAAAATACCATGGCATGGGTTAGGCACTTCTTAGTCTTCAAGGAGGTATCTTTGCTCTTCAGTGCTTGAAATAGGTCTTTTGCAACAGATTTACCCAATGCAATGTCTTTGACTCCTGCTTCCACTGGCATTGATTATAGAACCAAGTATTATGTAGTCTTCGACAACTTCAATCTTTTCTCCATCTATCATGATGCTGGGAGCTCTGGTGGCATAGTGCCTAAGGCATTTGACTGCTAACCAGAAGGCTGGGGGTTCAAAGCCACCAGCCACTCCTTGGAAGGAAGGTTGGGCAATCTACTTCCATAGTGATACCACCTCGGAAACCCAAGGAGGGGTCGCTATGAGTCGGATCCAACTTGACAGCAGCACGTTGCATTGTATCATGATGCTACTTTTGGTCCAGTTGTGAAGATTTTTGTTTTCTTTATACTGAGGTGTAATCCATACTGCAGACTGTAGTCTTTAATCTTCATCAGTAAGTGTTCCAAGTCATCCTCACTTTCATCAAGCAAAGTATGCCATAATTATAACAAATTATAACGTCAGTGGAGGCTTGTGTATTGCTATGATGCTGGATAGGTTTTAGTAGAGCTTCCAAAATATGATGGACCAAAAAAGAGGCCTGAGTTTTTTGCATAATCAGCCAATAAAAATCCTAGGATCCCAACAGTCTGATCCACAACCAATCATGAGGATGGTGCAGGGCTGTTGGGCAGTATTTTGTTCCATCTGGCACAAGGTCATCGTGAGTTGGGAGCTGACTCAGAGGCAGCTAACAACATTTCTTACAATATGAGTAAAGGTTTTAGAATATCTACTTTGAAAAAGATAATTATAGAGATAAAATTATCATAAACTTGTAAGGTCACGTTAAGGAGAAAAGGACGCACAAAAGTGAGGTTAAAGAGGAGTTTTATTCTGCGCTTCCGGAAGAGGTTTACAGGTCCCCGAGAGGGGCCCGGGCAAGGTTCACGGGTCCCTGAGAGGGGCCTGAGAAGTCGCGCCACCTGGTTGGGGAGGGTAGGGTTTATAGTCGCGTAGAGGACCTAAGTGGGGACACTAAGGAAATGGTGGGGTCCAATTAGCTGTTGGCATGGGTCTGCACCAAATTAGCATGAGGGGGCTTCACAGGAGGAAGTTTATCATCACATGGGACTTTCCAGCCTGGGCAGGTTCTGCCACCTCGGTTGTCTTATTGGGCTGTCTCATCAGGGCCTGACACCTGGAGGAAGCTACCAAGTGAAATGTTGGTGGCTTGAGTTTACTCCGGCCTAACAAAACTTATCTCTCAAATGACTGGATTAATAATCTCAAAGTATTTTAGTGTTTACATCAATGAGTACTTCATTAGTTTAGCAAGCAAATAAGAAAAACTGCTCAACAAGAAATCTGAAACTGAACAAAGAAAACTTATTCAAGAATACTCTAACTTGTAAAGTTTTATACAAATAACACAGGGTCATATGCTAAAAATGTACAAATAAAAACATTACAGACTGTTTTAGGGAACCTTATACACACAAGAAAAAAAATATACAAACACCTTAAAATGTACAAAATCTCAATTACCTTCTACATCATCCCCATGCTCTTCATCTTTATCATCCAGTTCATCACTTTCTCAATAAAATAGCAGAAGCAGTTAAAAAAACAAAAACAAACAAATTTTAATTAATGATGGTATTTAAACCAACTTTTAAAATGTGGTAAAGAATGAATGCTACAATACGAAGTATGACATTTAGAAAGGGGAGAATGACAATAAAAAAGGAAGCTTTGCTTCTCACACCATTTCATGTTAAAATATGAACTGCAAATGATGCCCAAAGATTACTTATCCATCAATAACCAAGATATCCTACCTTCCAAGACGTATAAAAAGCCAAAACCTGTTCCCAATGAGTCGATTCCAACTCATAGTGACCCTATAGGATAGAGTAGAACTGCCCCATAGGTTTCTAAGGCTGCAGTCTTTACAGAAGCAGATGGCCCCATCTTTTTCCTGTGGAGTCCCTGGTGGGTTCAAACCACTAACCTTCCAGTTAGCAGCCATGTACTTAAACCACTGTGCCACCAGGGCCCCTCTATACACACAGAGCCAAGTAATTTCATAAAATTAAATTCAAAGCCAAAATATTCTACAAATTTGGTTTTAAATAACATGGCACTTGAATATCATAGAATGCCATGAATAATTAGGCATTTCTTAATGCTTCTCATGCTGTCATTTATGCATATATATTTTTAAGAGAGTACATTTCCCCTATACTTTTCATATATATGAAATAAAACTACATACGAAAATAAAAACAAAAAACAAAACAGAAATTCTGTAGGAAGCAAGCTCTTTGTGATGAATAATTGGTAGAATGAGGAGGAGCAAGCAGAGGAGCAACACATGCATAGAAGTAACACGTTTGTAATTAGATGTCAGTCAAATCTTAGCATAGTTGAATTTTTCCATTAGGTGTAATTTTATCAAGCAGAATCATGTCAAAATATAGGAGAAAAGCAAGTTGATACACACTGTACTGGAACCGACATTCTTTATATGACTCATGCATTAGTGGTGAAAGACTCATCAGTTTTTAAGCTTCTGGTCTGGACCAACCTGTCTGATGTTGGAAAGGATAAATTGTCCTCATACAAATCTCCTTCTAAACCAAGACTGCTCCAGCTACTGCTGTTACCATTACTGCCAGAGGAAGAAGAGAACAGAGCTGAACTAGAAAATGAATAGTGAAGACCACCTTTGTTTGTCTGGAAACAGCTTCTGTCCATGATAACTGCAGATGTTCTGAAGCTGCCACAATGGAACAGCCACGAAGGCAAAGGGAGACCATCATTGCTACTCTAAACGGTACTTGGGCTGGTAAGGAGATTCAGGAGATATCTTCCCTTGTTATCAAAAGGCCATGAGCATTATTCTAAATCTTATTTGACAGGGTAATACAACAATGCATTTTAGGGCATTTTAGCAAATGAATGGGTAAAACTTCTACAAAGAGATAAATGTCTTGTGGCAAATCTTAGGATTTGAATCTTGGGAATTAATATTACTCAGTTTGGGTAAGGTTTAAAAAGAAAAGGAAAAAATAAAATAAAAAAAACAGATTAACTTTGCCTCATGTCTTTAGATGGTACAAACTAACAATGATGGGCATTTTGAGGGATGGGACAAAAGGCACCAAAACATAGTCCCAATCAACCTTTTCTAACTATATGTTTTCTGATTTTAAAACACTGTGCCAGTTACCTTTCTCTCCTACACTATGGATAATTCAACAGGTGGCCAGTAACATAAATATTCTATAGAATAAAGCTGGAAGAATGCAAGCTCAATCAAGAATTATACTTGTCTGCTCAGCCAGTCATTAATGCCACAACACAGGTGAGTTTTTATACTACCTAATCAAAAGAAAAAGGTAAAAAGCAAGAGCTATATCCATAAAATATTCATAGAAAGCAATGACATTCTAAAACCGCTGCAAAGCAATAAATAAAAAGCAACTGTGCTCAGAAAAAAAATTAAATTTAAAAATTTCAGACTGAAACCTCTAACATGCAACTTTAAAAAACTCTAACCATTAAAATAATTAGTAAGCACATTAGTTTGCAGTGATAAGCAGTTATATTTCCCAATATGAGGCTGTATAAGACAACTACAAAAATTAAAATTTTGGTTCTAAAAAATAAATTAACATAAAATCATTTTACATGCAAAGGTAAATGTTGACAAGGTTACCCCCCCCAAAAAAAAACCACCAAAAACTGATGATTATTGAAAGTTCTAAGTAGTTTCTAAGCAATGTTGAACAATTTATAAATCTATATTCACTTTAGCATTATCAAATTGTTTCAAAGAAAACCATAATATATTAGAAAATAGAAGTTAAAATTGAGCAGTCCTTTTTAATATACAGTTGTCCCTTGGTATCCATGAGGAATTGCTTCTATTACATCTCCCCTAATACAAAAATCCACAGATGTTCAAGTGCCTTATATAAAATGGTGCAGTATTTGCATACAAACTACACACATCCTCCCTGTACTCTTTAAATCATCTCTAGATGACGTATAAGACCTAATACAACGTATATGCTATGTATATAGCATTTGATGCTCTCCCTTAGCCTTGAGCGATTGATCTGACCACTTACTTGCCCCACCCACCCCAATATTTTTGATCTGCAATTGGCTGAATCCACAGATGCAGAACCCACAGATACAGAGGGTCACTTGTATGTTCAAACAAATATAACTGTATTATAAAACCTTTAAAAACAACCAGAATTTTTCCCATGTAGTCTGTTGTCAGAGAACCCAAAATTGAGAAAATACAAAAATACAGATGGTATACTTAGCTGGAGTCAGAGAGAAAGAGAAAATTAATGACCTCAAATACTATTTACTTCTATTAACAGAATGATTACTTAAGAAAAGAGAAACATAAAATTAAAATCCTTACCCATATCCTAGTAATAATAATGATTCTTCTATTCAATTAATAATAAAAAATTCATCACTTAAGTACTAGGTGAATGTTCTGGCTACGTAGTGCCGCTCTGACAAGAATATACCACAAATGGAGATATCTTCCCTTGTTCTCAAAAGGCCATGACTATTATTCTAAATCTTATTTCACAGGGTAATACAACAATGCATTTTAGTGCAGCAAATGAATGGGTAAAGTGAAAACTGCTACAAAGAGATCTTGTGGCAAATCTTAGGATTTGAGTCATGGGAATTAATAACAAACAAGAGTTTATTCTTAAAATTTGGAGGCTTGAAGTTCGAGTTCAAAGTGCCAGGCTCTAGGAGCTGGGTAAACGCCCCTCAGCCGTGGACTTCAGCTCTGCCTCCAGCTCCCGGCCCACTGAAGCTAGAGGCTTTTCTTTACTCAGGCAGCTACTGGCTGCTGAGGCTGCCAAGCTCAAGGTTGACAAGTAAAAAGGCATAGTCCTGGTATTACCAAATCACACGGCAGGCCATTAATTCAAGTCTGTTCAAAGTCCTAAGGTTGGCAGAGCATCACAGACTGATGAACAACAACTCAGCTACATGCAGGGTTCAAGGTGCCATAAGCTAGAGATCATTTCCAAGCTGCTTCTTATATATGAGAAGCAGACCACATACCCAACGGCAGCTACTCAGCTGCTCCCAGTAGATTCCACCATGGAGCTGATTACCAGTCTCATCGTGGGGAATGCTACATTCAGCTGCCCAGCCACTCAACCAGGCCCAGCCAAGCTGACACACAAACATAACCACCACAGTGAATATGAAAAAACATACAAGCTATATAAAGACTGAAAATTCAAGCTACCTTTATCGAACCATGTTCCCCCTCTTCCTTTGCATGCAGAAATGGGTCAGATTTTTTTGAATTCAGCTGTTTACACAATGCTACATCTAACTAAGTTGACCATGTAATTTTTCATACAGCCAGGACACTTTTGAAAATAAGTCATTTTTAATAATTGTATCGTAACAGCAGAATCAATATAAACCAGGACTATCCCAACAACTATTCCAATGTTTTATTCTGTTGTACATAGGGTTGCTATGAGTCAGAACTAACTCTATGGCACCAAACAACATCCAAGCAAAACAGATTTTTGTCATCCTACTTTAACTCAACATGAAACCACTTAATTTCCTCATATAACAGTCTTCCTATTTCATTCTTGAACAATGTTCTGTTTCCAACATTTTCTTTTTTAGCTTTTCATATGTTCTGTGCCCAGCAGAGGCATATTTATACCTTCAAACTGGGGGCAGTCACTATGTGGCTCTCATCCTATGAAGATTATGAATCAATTCTGACACATCTTATAAAAATCATTTTGAGTTCCGGCAAGATGGCATACTAGGCAGAAAGACTGCACAGACCCTCTTCAACAAAGAAAAGGGAAAACAATTAACACAGACATAGAAGATAATCTTGGACCCCTGAGCCTTGAAGGGAAAGATACAGAAGTAGACTAAACCGCAACTAGCAAAAGAATTTGCGTGAAAATACCAAAAAAGGAGACATACAGAGCTGCAGTCTGGCAGAGATCCTGAGTGATTCTGATGGCACAGACAGCTTGGAGATTCCCGAGTGGTGGCAGGACCTAAGAATTAACTTAAAAATCAGCCCTGCTAGCCAGGAACTGCACAGAGGACTGCTCTGGTGGCTGGGGAATAAACCGAGAAGGCGAAGAGAAAGGCGGGTAGAGCTATGGACTTTTGCCGGTCCGGAGGATGCCGCCATTTTGAAGGTTTAAAAGCAGCTTGGCAATTTTGGATATTTAAAGAGACAACGCTCTCGCAGATTCCTGAGGCTTAAGAACATGTTCTGCTCTCCAGCACCTCCAAGGACACTCCAGACCTGCAAGAGTGTAAAGGAACCACATTCCTCTTGTTACTCTTATTCCCGACATCTGCTTGGTGAACAGAGGTGCAGCCAACCTACCTTCTGGGCCCACAGGAACTCCAACACAGTCTGTGTGCTCAGACAGAGCCTGGGTGCCCTGCCCTGTCCTCCACCGATTTTTTTTTTCCTCTTTATTTTTTCTTTTTCGCTTTCTTTTTTCTGGTGACTAGTTTGATTGTATTCGTCTGTTTTAAAACAACTATTATTATTAATACTTTTGTACTTTTTACTATTATCTTCCCCTCCCAGGTCCCAGTTTTCAGCATTTTTTCTTTTCCCTGTTCCTGGTTGAAATTTTTTTTTTTT